GCTAGATTCAGTAGACACGGCGGCCCTCTCCCTAGGGTCTGATCGGATGGTGACTTCGACTGGGTACTCCAAGTTGTGCGGAAGACTGATGACCAGGGACCCACCAGAGGAAGTCGAGGTCGTCGGAGGAGAGGATGCCGTGATCGCCCTGGAGGCCAGTTGGAACGCCTGTACCGGGGTTACCGGGGCAGTGAAGCTGTGAGTCACACCTCCGCTATGTCCACTTCCACCGGGTCCTACAAAAAATGCAGTGGCAGGTGTCGGTGCCGGCGGTCCATGTGGTCCTTCAGAATCTGTGGCGGGTCTGCGAGAGCAACCAGGCGTTGGAGGGGGTGGTCCGCGAGAGACAACAGGCGTTGGAGGTGGTGGTCCCCTCGGAGCGCTGGTGCCACTGCCAGTGCCCGGCGGCCCACCGGTCTCCTCATCAGTGGATCGAAGGAGGTCTTCGTCGGAGTCATCAGAGGACAGGGTCGGGTGCGGCTTGGCACTGGCTGGCTTGGCACTGGCTGGCTTGGCACTGGCTTTGACCGCTGACCGGCGCGGGGTGCGGGAAGCAGAGCGGTCACGAGGCATTTTCTTGGGCTTGGGCCCCATGTTGATCCCTAAAGCCTGGGAGCCTGGGAGCCTATGAGCCTATAATACATGTTAGACTGAGCTTTGACATGTTGCAGCCTGGCAGCCTGGGAGCCTACTATTATATGACATGTTAGACTGAGCTTTGACATGTTGGAGCCTGGCAGCCTGTCGGAGCCTTGGAGCCACTACCTAGTCTGACCTAGTCGTGATGCATCCACTTTCCAGGAAAGCGGGGCTCGTCAGAACAGCTAATGTCTGCAGCACAGCAAGGTATCGCTTGATTGAATGTGCAGTCCCATGCATGCAGGTCTACAGCGGCAGTTAAGATCAATCGGAAGCATGCAGCCCCACCTCTGCGGCGAGATCCGTCGAAGGCGGAGCCACCATCGCCTCACATCGGGAACACCCGGCAGAATTACTGCATGTGTGAGTGCCCAGCAGCACCTGTGCACTGACATTCGCCGAAGGAGGCACAACCTGGCTCCGGGTAAGGGCCATGCACAAATCACAGCTATATAGAGTGTCCAACAATTCGCAAGTCGCAGGCCTGTGCATGGACATTCGTGGAAGGCACCACCATCGCCTCGACACGGGAATGACCATGCACGAATGACAGTGCCCATATAATATATATATATATATATATATATATATATATATATATATATATATACTGCACAATAAATCGCAGACCTGTGCAGGTGCATCCGGAGAAGGCTCCACCATAGCCTCCAAGCAGGCAGGATCGGCCATACAATGGCAGTGCCCTTTATATTTCTAACATATATATATATATATATATATATATATATATATATATATATATATTATATAATTTAATTAATTTATATATATATATAATTATAAATATATATATATATATATATATATAATTATATATTAAATTATATTTAATATACTGCACAAGTCGCGGGTCGGCCTTTTCAGGGACACCCAGACGTGGATCCAGCATGGCCTGGATGTCGCGACGAATACCCACACATCTAAATAAGTCAATAAGCAGGAGCCACACCTCTGCGGGGATCATCGCCAGAGCTGGCGGCACCGAAGCCTCGCATTAAAGGAATCAGAGATGACTGAATGGCACATGCCGAGCACGCTCCGGCCTCTCCATTCTGGATCTCTGTCGACTGCAGGACCTGAATCAACAACAACCGGAAGCCAAAGCGAAGACAACCATGCACGTCCGGCCCACCTTAAGTCGATGAAGACCCAGTGGCCGCTCCTCGCCAAGTAGTAGTCTTAGTAGTAGTAGTAGTAGTAGTAGTAGTAGTAGTAGTAGTAGTAGTAGTAGTAGTAGTAGTAGTAGTAGTAGTAGTAGTAGTAGTAGTAGTAGTAGTAGTAGTAGTAGTAGTAGTAGTAGTAGTAGTAGTAGTAGTAGTAGTAGTAGTAGTAGTAGTAGTAGTAGTAGTAGTAGTAGTAGTAGTAGTAGTAGTAGTAGTAGTAGTAGTAGTAGTAGTAGTAGTAGTAGTAGTAGTAGTAGTAGTAGTAGTAGTAGTAGTAGTAGTAGTAGTAGTAGTAGTAGTAGTAGTAGTAGTAGTAGTAGTAGTAGTAGTAGTCGTAGTAGTACTAGTAGTAGTAGTAGTAGTAGTAGTAGTAGTAGTAGTAGTAGTAGTAGTAGTAGTAGTAGTAGTAGTAGTAGTTCGTATTAGCAGTAGTAGTAGTAGTAGTAGTAGTAGTAGTAGTAGTAGTAGTAGTAGTAGTAGTAGTAGTAGTAGTAGTAGTAGTAGTAGTAGTAGTAGTAGTAGTAGTAGTAGTAGTAGTAGTAGTAGTAGTAGTAGTAGTAGTAGTAGTAGTAGTAGTAGTAGTAGTAGTAGTAGTAGTAGTAGTAGTAGTAGTAGTAGTAGTAGTAGCAATAGTAGTAGTAGTAGTAGTAGTAGTAGTAGTAGTAGTAGTAGTAGTAGTAGTAGTAGTAGTATTAAATAATAATAATAATATTAATAATACTAATAATAATAACAATAATAATAATAAATAATAATAATAATTTTAATAATAATAATATAATAATAATAATAATAATAATAATAAAATATAAATTAGTAACAGTTAGTAGTCAGTAGTAGTAGTAGTAGTAGTAGTAGTAGTAGTAGTAGTAGTAGTAGTAGTAGTAGTAGTAGTAGTAGTAGTAGTAGTAGTAGTAGTCGTAAACCTTAAACCCTACTCGGTCCTGGTCTTGGCTTGGCCGTCCAGCTGCGCCGTTGTCAGGCGTCGAGGATGGTTCTCGCCCCGCTCCTAGTGCTTTGGGCTTTAGGCTGAAGGCCTTTAAGGATGGACTACGCATTGGCATATTGCCTCGGAACCTGGGGGCCTGGCTGCTCGTACCGAAGAGCCTTGGAGCCTTGGAGCCTGTCAACGAAGAGCTTGCATCGCAAACCAGGCAACATTCCCTGTTCATTCCGGCAGCCGTGGAGCCCTGGAGCCCGGAACCCTTGCATTTCAACCACAGTTAGGCTTGGCCCGGAGCCAGAGGCCAAGGAGGTTGGAGCCTTGGAGCTTGGGAGCCTTGCTTCACATTTCGACCACAGTCAGGCTTGGCCCGGAGCCAGAGGTCAAGGAGGGTCACCATCTTCAGGTAGGGAGCTTGGAGCCTTGCTTTACATTTCGACCACAGCTAGGCGGCTTGGGGCTCCGCAAACGCCAAGAAGGGTCCCCCTTTTCATTTCGGTAGCCTTGGAGCCTTGGAGCATTGCCTTACATTTCGACCACAGTTAGGCTTGGCCCGGAGCCAGAGGCCAAGGAGGGTCCCCCTTTTCATTTCTACATTTGGACCGGGAGCCAAAGGCAAGCAGGGTCCCACTTTCTGGAGCCTTGGAGCCTTTTGGCGCAAAGCCAGCTTGGAGCCTTGCCTTGCGAGCCTTGGAGCCTTGCTTGGCCCCCTTCATTTTGACCACAGTTAGGCTTGGCCCGGAGCCAGAGGCCAAGGAGGGTCCCCCTTTTCATTTCTTGGAGCCTTGGAGCCTGGGAGCCTTGCTTTACATTTGGACCGGTAGCCAAAGGCAAGCAGGGTCCCACTTTCTGGAGCCTTGGAGCTTTTTGGCGCAAAGCCAGCTTGGAGCCTTGCCTTGCGAGCCTTGGAGCCTTGCTTGGCACCCTTTCGTCATGTTGACCACAGTTAGGCTTGGCCCGGAGCCAGAGGCCAAGGAGGGTCCCCCTTTTCATTTCTTGGAGCCTTGCAGCCTGGGAGCCTTGCTTTAGAGCCAAAGGCAAGCAGGGTCCCACTTTCTGGAGCCTTGGAGCCTTTTGGCGCAAAGCCAGCTTGGAGCCTTGCCTTGCGAGCCTTGGAGCCTTGCTTGGCCCCCTTCATTTTGACCACAGTTAGGCTTGGCCCGGAGCCAGAGGCCAAGGAGGGTCCCCCTTTCATTTTGACCACAGTTAGGCTTGGCCCGGAGCCAGAGGCCAAGGAGGGTCCCCCTTTCATTTTGACCACAGTTAGGCTTGGCACGGGGCCAGAGGCCAAGGAGGGTCCCCCTTTCATTTTGACCACAGTTAGGCTTGGCCCGGAGCCAGAGGCCACGGAGGGTCCCCCGTTGAAGAAAAAACATTTCGACCACAGTTAGGCTTGGCCGGGAGCCAGAGGCAGGGTCCCCCTTTTCATTTCACAGCCTTGGAGCCTTGGAGCCTGCATCTTGACTCTCTTTCGCTGAAAGAGGGTCTCATTCTAGTCAGGTTCTTCACTCAGCATGCCTGGTCGTACCGAGCTGTCTGCAGCGAGGCAGATTCAAGGCCAGAAGCAGTAGAACACAAACGTACATGAGGGCAGGGTGCTTTGAAACTAAACCTTGTGGCCTTGACGACGATGGGTCGATGTCGATGCGGTCCCTCGCAGCATCGAATCATCCTGGCGACAGCCAAGATCCGCTGTCAAATTAATTAAACTTGACTGTCCAACGCAGCACGGGTCCTGACAGCTTCCTTGGCGCTGCGGCCGTGGACCACGCTTGCCCATCTCCCTGCCTGCAAAGAACGACATGTGAACCAGGTTACATGTGGAATTTGGGTGCGTTCACATGACTCACGACACTGGCCTCTGCTTTTTCGGACAACCCCCGCGCTGAGAATTAAAATAATTGAATTAGGGATCCCAGCCAGTCTTGCGCCAGACCTTGGAGCCTGGGAACCTGGTAGCCGCGACACGCCCTGCAAACAGCTTGTCACGACGCACTTCACCACTTCGGCAAGATGCAACGCACGGCACTGTGCGGAATCGGTTACAACGAGGAAACTCACTGCATCTCACATTGCATGCAATCTTGCCCCCATGCTCGGATATGCTGCTAACTGAACACACGAAGGCTATGAAAGTCACACCCTACTAACTAACCCTGAAACCCTTTAACCGACTCTAAACACACGTTAAACCATACGAGCCATCATCAAATAAAAATGGAGGCTCAGTCGAGTCATTTCTGATTCAGACAGAGCTCCGGCCACCGCCGCTTTCCGGGGTCTGGAGCACAGCCGACCAACACAAACAGCCCCCATTTACCGGCTCGAAGCACCTTTGTGCAGCACGTGTGACTTGCAGCGGGGCAATTGGCTAAGTCGCTGCGTGTTTTCCACAGCTCGGGCCACTGCTTGCACCACGCTCTCAGTCCGGCCTCCCCCTTGGGCATGAAGGGATTCCCGGTCTCCACCTCAAACACCACGCAAGCATAGGCCCACATATCCACAGCTGCAGTCAGCAGCTGCTTTCTGACACCGCAGTCTCCATCGCCATTCACACGAGCGGGCCACAGCTCCGGAGGTCGATAGGCAGCCGTGACATACTGCAGGAACCTGGGAGCCTGAGAAGCCTTCTGGAGCCGTGCCATGTTCTCACTCATGCCGAAGTCGCACACCTGCACCTGATCTGTGCAAGGGCACCAAAGAACATTGCCAGGTTTCACATCCAAGTGTAGGATGCCTGCGTCATGCAAGGTCTGCAGTGCACTTCTCAGCTGAGCTGCCACAGACCACGTCCTCGGCTTGCCATGCGCCGCAGGATTTCGAAGTGCGGTTGCCAGGCTGGGCCCACATAGGCTAGTAGCCATCCATGGCCAAGGTCTGCCCGTGACACCCGAGCTGACAAGAAGCGGGAACCACATCATCTTCTGCTGCGGAACGGCCTTCATTAGAAGCTTCATCTGCTCCACTTCGTGCCTGCAATCCGCGGGGCCATCGGAGCCACGATAAACCTTCACCGCCACGTTAAGGCCGCTTTGCGGATGCTGGCAACTGTAGACACTGCCATAGGCTCCGCCTCCAATTGGAGCCCTTGCACCATTAAGCTCAAATGGGCCAACGCGACCGCCAGATTCGTCAGCGGCAGGGGGGTCCTTCGCCTCGTCGGGGCCGCCCGCACTGGTCGTGGAGCCCCGCATCCTGATGCCAAGAACGGCCAGTGCACTTCGCTGAGCCATGAACTCATCTTTGCTCCTCGCCATGAATGGTGCCTTCTGCTTGTCGGTCATGCCCTGCCAGACTGCGCCAAGATGCTTCATCTCATTGAGAAACTCGTGCTTGGGAGCGCCTTTCTTGACTTCGGAGTTTTCCTGGAACCAGATGACGAAGGCCCTTCGAGCCTTGGGGACCAAGCCGTCTTTCACAGCCTGCTTCCGCAAGCTCTGCGATTTGCTGCCACCATGCTGGCACCCCCGGGGCATCCGACGAGAAGCCGTCTTGAGACTGGTTTTGCCCCAGAGGCGTCTGGTAGGCCTCCATCGGCAGCCCATGTCGAACCCAAGCAGGGAACCTCAGAGCCTGGGAACCTGGGGCCATAACGGCTCGCTTTAATGCATTCAGGCGACTACAACAACATCCTCGGCGAGTCCTATTTCAATGTCATGCCACAATAAGAGCATTTCGGCTTTTTCAGGCGACAGTAGTCACTGCTACACACTACTGACAAAACTGAGCCCGGCAAAAGGTCAAGAGCCTGAGAACCTGGGAGCCTAGGTGCCTGAGCTGGTGCCTGAGCTGGCGGATTCGGTCGAAGTGAAACATCATCACTGCGGTTGATCGCGGGGGCTATCTGGCTCAGCAGGTGCCTCGTCCTGGTCGTCTTGGTTGGACAAGCTCTCCAGAACGTGCGGGAAATGCTTCTTCACCGCCTTGGCATTCTCGTCCGAGTAAAGAGTGGATCCCTCCAAAGCCATCATTCCGCAAGCTGCGCGATCAGCAACCGCCTGGACCCACGACATGTGCTCCTTGTTGAGGCCTCGGATAATTTAAATAAAATCAAATGACAATGATCTGACGAATCTACTGGACAAGTAAGGGTGCTGCAAAGCCCGTGGTATGCGATGCCGGCAGTCAAAGAAGCCTCCATCAGAGCACCGGTGCCAGCCGTGAGGTCAAACACTGCCTCCGCGCAAAACTCCTCAATGATGGCATTCCAATATGCTATCGGCTTCGACTCGTTCCAGAACAAGGGTACGTCGGAGCCGTGGCGATCCTGCCAGTCCTCTGGCGGTGTCGGGAGGTCGCCGGTTGTTGCCGGAGCAATGATCTTCTTCTTGGTGTCTGCAGACACGAGGGGCATTTCAGAAACCGCACGGTACTCCACGCCTGAGTAAGTGCCTTGGTACGTAGAAGCCTCGCCGCAGACTGTGAAGGAGCCTTTCTTCGTCGTCTGAATCTTGGTGCGTGCGACCGGGAACTTAACCGCTCCTGTCTCCACCTTCTTTGCAGCCAGCGGAACGCGGCGAGTGCGACCAGTTCTCGGCGGGCACCCACCTGAGTACACGATGGTGCACTCCTCGGTGTGCTGCTGGTTCAGCAGGAGGTCTTCCTTAAAGAACCAGGTGCAGCCTTTGAGCCTTGGAGCCTGGGAGCCTTGTCACATCACCCCGCCAAGACTCGGACACGCGGCGAATTTCCCGCATTCTGCCGTCGAAGAGTACGACGAAATCCTCGGGCCCAGAAATGTCTTTGGCAAAGGCACAGATCTCTTTCCATTCCTCGCTTGGCGGAGTGCCCTTGAGCCACGGGTCGGTACCAGCCTCTGCCAAGAGATCCGCACTGGCAACGATCAGGCGGTGCGAAGAGTTTAAGGTGCCCTTGTGCGTGAAGACCTTGCCGCAACCTCTGAACGCATTGACTAGGCAGTCCTTCGAGATCTTGTTCGGTACCGAGAACGACACGAACTTGCGGCGTTCCGTTTGCACCGCCTTCCACTGCCGCTCACGCTCGACACATTCCTCGGGTGTGTCAGCTTCAGAAGCCTTGGCCAGGCTTTGGAGCAAACTCGGAGCAGGAGCCGCAGATGTGGCACCAACGGACTTCGTGCTGTTGTCGAACTTGTCGACAATGATCTTCATCTGAGTGATAAGCGCACATGGCTCCTCGTGCTCCGTGTCATCCGAGCTTCCAAGCTGTGCAGCTGTCAATGCCTTTGCAAGGCCATCTTCACTCGAAGCCAGCATGCAGCAATCCTTGTAGTACTTCCCCGACATCAGCTCCAGCAGCAAATCCAAAAGCATGCCAATGGCTTTGTTGAAACCCTCTTTAACAGCTCCAATCTTGGACTGCGGAACAGGGCGCTCCACGTCCTCTGGGTCCTCGCCGTCCATGTCGTCCTCTCCAGCAGCCCCTTGATCAGCATCAGCATGGCAGAGATATTTCTCCCAACATGTGGAAGGGCAACGGAGTTCAGCCAAAATCCCTGTCAGCTTAACCTTGTCCGGCTCAGGCAACTTGTTCGCCAGCTTTGCTGCATAATCGAAGACCTCTGTCAGTGTTCAAGCTGCCGATGACTTGCAACACTCCGCAAAAAAAAAATACACACGCTAGTCAGAATAGTTACAATGCCTGCACCACCAGCATGCGCGACAACCAAAAGCCAGCATCGCCTGTCTTCCGGTCTCGATCCAGAAACTTCTCGGTGCATTTAGCTGGCGTGACCATGTTCATGCGCAGGGCCAGCGTCAAGGAGTCGATCATCCAGGCCGTCAGGTCTACAGCGTTTCTGGTAGCAGATGCGAGCTTGTTGGTCAGCGATAACAGCTTGCTCAACTTCGAGTACTGACTGCTCAAGATGCCCCGCCCAAATTCCAGCTCCAATCTCCGGGCAGCCTTCTCCACGGGACCGGATGGACCCCGCAGCACTGCAACAGCTGCTGTGGCAGCCTGGTGTAAGGCCTTGTTGTACAAGGTGTTGTTGTACCTCAAGTTCTGTTCCTCACCATCCTGGACTTTTTCGACCTTGCGCAGCTGGACAGTCTTTGCAAATGTCCAAAAGGTGTCGGACAGGCCAGGGTGCCCGAGTGCCTTGACTTTCTCTGAAGCAAGATTGCGACTCTTCGCACTCTCCCCTGCGCTGGAACACAAGCGAACCTGTATCGTGACAGTGCAGCCACACTCCCACAAAATCTCCAAAACTGCTTTGTCCTGCCAAGTGCAAGCACACATCAGTCAGATGAATCAATAACATGTCATGTCATGTGAACACAAGCAGCAACTGTCCTGGGAGACTAGGGCTTTGAAGACGGCCAAGTACCAAGCCCACAACACAAACACGCCGCTAGCAAGATGCAACGAGCTGTTGAACTCTTCGTGAATCACGTCAGATGCTGACTCCGTGAGGACAATCATCTCACAAGGCCACGTCAGCCGGTTTCGTGACGTTTTTTGTTTCTTCTTGGCAGCTTCACGCGATACAACTGTGCTGAAAGCAACTTTCTTGGAGAAGAAAGCGTCTTCGAAAGTTTGGAGATCCTGCCAGCACACATCCTCAGACGCACTGGCAAAAGCGTCGGTGGCCAGCCACAGCGCGAGGCCACTGGCTTCGTAAAGTCCAGATGATGTCAGGGACGCTTGGCAGTCATCTTTGCTCCACACAGCCTGACAAACGACAACGGTCAAACAATAATAAATGACATTGATCGACATGCGCCCGCCTTGTATCCGGTCAAATCCCCCATCTTGGCTTCTGAGTTGATGGCAAGCGGCGGTGTCTTGAACATCTGCTTGGCCTGCGGAAACTTCAGAGGGAGCTGGCTGCGGACCTCGGGCAGGCACGGCATGCAGCACTGTTAGCCGCGAGACGGGACACGGTATCAAGAACTCAGCGAAGGGCCCATGGCACGATGTTTGCCAGGGCTTCTTGAGCATCACTGGCCTGCTTCACATGGCGTGCCACACATCATCATCATCACACACGTCATACTGCTCCGAAAATGCTGAGCTCAGAACGGTTGGGTCGGTGGGCAAATCCGGCACTTTTGCCATTGAGCGCGAGTACAGAAGCCTGGGAACCTGGGAGCCGAGTAGCCTTCCACGGAACCGGTTGGAGTCTTGCGGTGCAGCGCAAGGCAATAAGACTGCTGCAGTGCAGGACATGCTGCAAACAAACACAAACTGACGTCGACAGCGGTCCTTTGTAGTCGTGGGCCCTGCCACAGTTTGTCGACGAGCGGCTTGAGCTTTACATGTCCATTTAAATCAAGTTGGCAGCAAAGTAAGGAAGCATCAAAATCCTACTATGCTGCTGATGAATCAGTCATCTAAACATGACGACACCAAGCCGGCGCCACATGGACCTTGGAGCCTGGGAGCCTAGGAGCCTGGGAGACGCCTCAGCTGGGCATCAACGGCAGCGAGGGCATCCTGGTCGCGGCGGAGCTGCTTGTTGGAGACCTCCACCTGTTCCTTCAAGCGCCGTTTGTGCTCCACCAGCTTGGAGCGCTGAGCCTCAAGGAGAATGTCTGAGTGCTTCCTGGGGTTGCTCATGCTCACGATGACCATCTCGATCCCGGACCTGCGTACCTTCAAGTTGCCGGTGCGGATCCGCTCTGCCAGGTCATTGCCCTTGAGCATCCAGAAGTACCCCGATGACGCCCTCGCAGCTGAACTCGAGCATGTCCATGTCGAGCTGCTTGAGGGCAAAAAAACCCAACGGGGCCGCTGCGTGCGTGGACGAAGAAACCGGGAACAGGGATGCACCGGGATCCGGAAGGAACGGATCCCCCTGCGCAGCGAACACGTGGTTCCGGGCCAAGAAGTTCACGAGGGCAGATGTGTCCTCCTTGCTAATG